GCTGTGCAGACCTCAGCCCAATTGTTCTAAGCACAGAACTTGTTTATAACAGAAGAGAACCGTCCTTGAAGGAAATTACGGATCTTGGAGCACACTCCCTCACGCTTTCTCTTTGCTGGTATCTTTTGAAAACCAAACACGGCATGATCACCTGGGGTTTTCAGAACCACTTTCCCTAGTGTATTGACTCTCGCTTTGATAGCAGTTGCATGCCTTTTACCAATTTTTTTATTCTTCTTACCAATTTCTGCATTATTTTTAACAATTTCTTCATTATTTTTACCAATTTCTGCATTATTTGTACCAATTACTGCATTATTTGTACCAATTTTGTCATTATTCCTTCTGCCAATTTCGTCATTATTCCTTCTGCCAATTTCGTCATTATTCCTTCTACCAATTTTGTCATTATTCCTTCTGCCAATTTCGTCATTATTTAAAGCAAAAAGAGTTGATCCACCTGCAATGAGATCATATATTTTATTGAATAAAGGCTTTCAAATTATGGCACATCTAAGATTTTTCAGAAAAAATCGTGAAAAACGACATACCTTTCAAGGCTTTAGCTTCAGTATTTATTTTCAAAGTCTGAATTCCATCTGGTAGAGGAAGTTGTTTTGCTGCAGGAACTGAGGCCCTGTTAGCTTGTATTCCTTCCACAAAGTCGTTGGTGATTGGTATTGCCGATGGCCCAGTTTGTTGGGTTCCAGTCAGTCCCAAGAAACCATTGGTGACAGTTTCACCAGTAGCTCTTGTAATTAGCATCGTAGTTCCTGTCACCCCTGATGGTCTAGTTTGAGGATTTCCTGTCAGTTCTGATGGTCTAGTCGGAGGCGTTCCTGTGGAGCCTGATGGTCTAGTTTCAGGAGAACCCGTCTGTCGTGATGGCCTAGTCGGAAGAGTACCAGTCTGTCCTGATTGCCTAGTTAGAGGAGTGCTTGTCTGTCCTGATGCACCAGTTGGGGGAGAACCCGTCTGTCGTGATGGCCTAGTCAGAAGAGTACCAGTCTGTCCTGATTGCCTAGTTAGAGGAGTTCCTGTCTGTCCTGATGCTCCAGTTGGGGGAGTTCCTGTCTGTCCCGATGGTCTAGTTGGAGGAGTATCAGTTAGTCCTGTTGATCTATTTGGAGGAGTTCCTGTGGGTCCTGATGGTCTAGTTGGGGGAGTTCCTGTGGGTCCTGAAGGTCTTGTTTGAGGAGTTTCTGTGGGTCCAGAAGGTCTAGTTTGGGGAGTATCAGTTTCTCCTGATGGTCTAGTTGGGAGAGTACCTGTCGGACCTGATGGTCTAGTTGGGGGAGTTACTGTGGGTCCTGATGGCCTTGTTTGAGGAGTTCCTGTGAGTCCTGAAGGTCTAGTTTGGGGAGTATCAGTTACTCCTGATGGTCTAGTTGGGAGAGTACCTGTCGGACCTGATGGTCTAGTTGGGGGAGTTACTGTGGGTCCTGATGGTCTTGTTTGAGGAGTTTCTGTGGGTCCTGATGGTCTAGTTGGAGGAGTTACTGTCTGTCCGGATGGTGTCAGATCTAAGGGTCCTGTCGGAGGAGAACCTGTTAGATCTAATGGTCCTGTCGGTGGAGATCCTGTCAGTTCTGTTAGTCTTGTCTGAGAAGTCCCTGTAGGTCCTGATGGTCTCGTTAGGGGAGTGCCCGTCGGTCTTGAAGGTCTAGTTTGAGGAGTATCAGTTAGTCCTGATGGTCTAGTTAAAGGACTTCCTGTGGGTCTAGTTGGGGGAGTTCCTGTGGGTGCTGATGGTCTTGTTTGAGGAGTTCCTGTGGGTCCTGATGGTCTTGTTTGAGGAGTTCCTGTGGGTCCAGAAGGTCTAGTTTGGGGAGTATCAGTTACTCCTGATGGTCTAGTTGGGAGAGTACCTGTCGGTCCTGATGGTCTTGTTGGGAGAGTTCCTGTGGGTCCTGATGGTCTTGTTTGAGGAGTTCCTGTGGGTCCTGATGGTCTAGTTGGAGGAGTTCCTGTGGGTCCTGATGGTCTTGTCTGAGGAGTTCCTGTGGGTCCTGATGGTCTAGTTGGAGGAGTTCCTGTCTGTCCGGATGGTGTCAGATCTAAGGGTCCTGTCGGAGGAGAACCTGTTAGATCTAATGGTCCTGTCGGTGGAGATCCTGTCAGTTCTGTTAGTCTTGTTTGAGGAGTCCCTGTAGGCCCTGATGGTCTCGTTACGGGAGTGCCCGTCGGTCTTGAAGGTCTAGTTTGAGGAGTATCAGTTAGTCCTGATGGTCTAGTTGGAGGAGTCCCTGTGGGCCCTGTTGGTCTATTTGGAGGAGTTCCTGTGGGTCCTGATGGTCTTGTTGGAGGAGTTCCTGTGAGTCCTGATGGTCTAGTTGGAGGAGTTCCTGTCTGTCCGGATGGTGTCAGATCTAATGGCCCTGTCGGAGGAGAACCTGTCGGATCTAATGTCCTGTCGGTTCTGTCAGTCCCGTCGGTGGAGTACCTGTAAAATCTAATGGTCCTGTCGGAGGAGATCCTGTCAGATCTGTTAACCCCGTCGGTCCTGAAGGTCTCGTTGGGGGAGTACCTCTCGGTCCTGATGGTCTAGTTTGGGGAGTACCTGTCGGTCCTGATTGTCTAGTCGGAGGAGTACCTGTCGTTCTCGACGGTCTAGTTGGGGGAGTACCTGTCGGTCCAGAAGGTCTAGTTATGGGAGTACCTGTCGGTCTCGACAGTCTAGTTATGGGAGTACCTGTGGGTCCTGAAGGTCTAGTTGGGGGAGTACCTGTCGGTCTCGACAGTCTAGTTATGGGAGTACCTGTGGGTCCTGAAGGTCTAGTTGGGGGAGTACCTGTCGGTCTCAACGGTCTTGTTGGAGGAGTACCCGTCGGTCCCGATTGTCTAGTCAGAGGAGTACCTGTCGGTCTTGATTGTCTAGTCAGAGGAGTGCCTGTCGGTCTCGACGGTCTTGTTGGAGGAGTATCCGTCGGTCCCGATTGTCTAGTTGGGGGAGTACCTGTCGGTCTCGACGGTCTTGTTGGAGGAGTACCCGTCGGTCCCGATTGTCTAGTCAGAGGAGTACCTGTCGGTCTTGATGGTCTAGTCAGAGGAGTGCCTGTCGGTCTTGACGGTCTTGTTGGAGGAGTATCCGTCGGTCCCGATTGTCTAGTCGGCGGAGTACCTGTCGGTCTCGACAGTCTTGTTGGGGGAGTACCTGTGGGCCCTGAAGGTCTAGTTGGGGGAGTACCTGTCGGTCCCGATGGTCTAACAAGAGTTGTACCCGTTGGTCCTGATTGTATAGTTGAAGGAGTACCTGTCGGTCTCGACAGTCTTGTTGGGGGAGTGCCTGTGGGTACAGATGGTCTAGTTGGAGGAGAACCTGTCGGTCCAGAAGGTCTAGTTATGGGAGTACCTGTCGGTCCTGATGGTCTAGTAGGGGGAGTGCCTGTCAGTTCTGAAATTCTAGTTGGAGGAGTACCTGTGGGTCCTGTTTCTCTAGTCGGAGGAGTATCCGTCAGTCCCGATTGTCTAGTCAGAGGAGTACCTGTCGGTCTTGATTGTCTAGTCAGAGGAGTACCTGTCGGTCCCGACGGTCTTGTTTGAGGAGTATCCGTTGGTCCCGATTGTCTAGTCGGCGGAGTACCTGTCAGTCTCGACAGTCTAGTTATGGGAGTACCTGTGGGTCCTGAAGGTCTAGTTGGGGGAGTACCTGTCGGTCTCGATGGTCTAGTTGGCGGAGTACCTGTTGGTCCTGATTGTCTAGTTGAAGGGGTACCTGTCGGTCCAGAAGGTCTAGTTATGGGAGTACCTGTAGGTCCTGATGGCCTAGTAGGGGGAGTGCCTGTCAGTTCTGAAATTCTAGTTGGAAGAGTACCTGTGGGTCCTGTTTCTCTAGTTGGGGGAGTACCTGTCGGTCCCGATTGTCTAGTCAGAGGAGTACCTGTCGGTCTTGATTGTCTAGTCAGAGGAGTACCTGTCGGTCTCGACGGTCTTGTTGGAGGAGTATCCGTCGGTCCCGATTGTCTAGTCGGCGGAGTACCTGTCGGTCTCGACAGTCTAGTTATGGGAGTACCTGTGGGTCCTGAAGGTCTAGTTGGGGGAGTACCCGTCGGTCTCGATGGTCTAGTAGGAGGAGTACCCGTTGGTCCTGATTGTCTAGTTGAAGGAGTACCTGTCGGTCTCGACAGTCTTGTTGGGGGAGTACCTGTTGGTCCAGATGATCTTGTTGGAGGAGAATCTGTTGGTCCTGAAGGTCCCGTTGGGGGAATACCCGTCGGTCCCGATTGTCTAGTCGGAGGAGTACCTGTCGGTCTCGAAGGTCTTGTTGGGGGAGTGCCTGTGGGTACAGATGGTCTAGTTGGAGGAGAACCTGTTGATCCTGAAGGTCTCGTTGGAGGAGTATCCGTTGGTCCCGATTGTCTAGTCTGAGGAGTACCTGTCGGTCTCGACGGTCTTGTTGTGGGAGTACCTGTGGGTACAGATGGTCTAGTTGGAGGAGAGCCTGTTGGTCCTGAAGGTCTCGTTGGGGGAGTACCCGTCGGTCCCGATTGTCTAGTTGGAGGAGTACCTGTAGGCATTGATGGTCTAGTCGGAGGTGTACCTGTCTGCCCTGATGGTCTAGTTGGAGGATTACCTGTCCGTCCTGATGGTCTAGTCGGAGAAGTTGGAGGAGTACCTGTCTGTCCTGATGGTCTAGTCGGAGAAGTTGGAGGAGTACCTGTCTGTCCTGATGGTCTAGTCGGAGGTGTACCTGTCGGCTCTGACGGTCCAGTCGGACGAGTTGGAGGAGTACCTGTCAGTCCTGATGGTCTGGTTGTAGAAGTACCTGTCGGTCCTGATGATCTGGTTGTA